TTTCAAACTGACTTATGTCCACTGAACATCTGTTGTGTTACAGGTTTAAACCACTTTCTGATCACTTAAACTGGTTTATGTGTAATGTCTGTCCCTAGCCAAAGCAGCCCCACAGGTTGCTCGTGGCCCTCCAGCTCATGCACCTCTGCTGCTCTCAGCCAGGGGCTGGGCTTGCTCTGGGAAATGCAAAGGATTAATTTGCTGGAGCAGCTTTATTGTTAGAAACAAAAGGACTGGCAAGCAAAATGTCTTTGAGGCATCTGGCCACCTTCAGAAAGAGATGCAGCGTCTCCAGCTTCAAGAAAAGACTTCATCTCCCAGCAGCAATGACACTTTCAGTCCAAGCACCCTGCCAACCCATGCACTGCAGCTAAATCCCTAAGCAAACCAGTTGATGTGCAGACCGACCAATACCCCACAAGCCAGATGTTTACTGTGGAGAGGGAGAAAAAAAGCTGGGGTCTCTAATGCAGTCCACGCTCTTGCTCTGGATTGGATCTGCGTGCTCAGGTATTGCAGCGATGGAAGGTCAAACAAAGCCCACAGGCAGGTGGACAGTGCTTGGAAAAATAAATTAGCCGGGTTACTTTCTTGTCTGTTTATAAAAAGCCAATTTATCTTTCAGCTCCAGACTTCTGCTAAATAATATACAAGCTAACCAAGGTGAAGGAACACACTCTCAGCCTCTTCACAGCCAACCAAAGGTCACGGAGCCAGGGAGGGAAGCCCTCTTCAGAGATGCGGCTATTGGAGCTGAATTTGCAAAGCAGAGGCACTCTGTGTGTTAGACAGGCAGGCTGCATGGGCAGGACATTTTCCGTGTCCTTTTAGCGGTCCCTGCAAACAAGCAAGAGAGGAGCCGTGCTCTTGTACACTTCACATAGCATGTGTGCAGACCATAGGGCAAAAAATCACGTGCACACCTGATCATGGAGGACCAGCCAAGACACTTCTGGAAGTCCAATCCGAGTTGTTTGATTCTGACTCAGCTGATCTATTCCCAAGTTAATACAGCACTGCATTCTTGAGACTTGGACCATGCCTATTATTTATTATTTGTGTTTTCACAGCACTTAGCATCTCAGTCCAGGCTCAGCACCCCTCAGGCCAAGCACTGTACAGCCTCATGACTAACAGAAATTGCTATTTATAAGATGCCTGCAACTTCTAGCTGTAGATCTGTCAAAAACATGACAAGGTCTAAGGAAACTCGGTAAGGAAGCAGCTGAGGTCCTGGCTGTCAGTGAGCAAATCCAGCTGTTCTAGCTGGCCTGACAGCATCCTCGTCTACACCATTCTGGAGGGAAGTGGCACACGTGAGAACAATGCATTAGGTACACCCACCACTACACAGGTGCACGTGTCCCCTGAGAACACCCAGAGAGAAAAAAGCCAGTCACTGGTGGCAACAAAAGGATTATAGCTGAGTGCACGTGGAAAGTGGGATCTGCTGTTTCAAGTGACAGGGCAAGCAGCTCTGGAAGGTGAACCTGCAAAGGAAAGAGAGTTGCTCAGGAGGAAACGTAGGGAAACAACCAGCCGAGCTGCATGACCCTTCAGACAGAGAAGTGGAGCGGTTATAGGAAATCAGAGAGGCAGAATGCAAGCCCAGAGCCTGATGTCTAGAATACAGAGAAGGAGAAAAGGAGCAGAAAGAAGCACTAATGAGAAATGCAGAGGTTTTGAAAGGCAACGTCACACTGAGCCCAGCCCACCTATGCTGACTTAGTGGGCTGACACGGTGTACACTAGTTTATCTACAGTGGGAGATTACACAGCAGCAGGACAAACCCAGGGGGAACCTACAGCTTCCAAGCTACACTGGGTGCCATGGCACAAGCCTCTACCCAGGCCCACCAGGTGTGCTAGCTGGGCTTGTTTCATGAACAATCAATGCACAGCACCACACCAGGGCATCCCAGTAGCAAAGAATAGCGGAGGTTGTTTTCTTGCACACTAATGCAACTCTGGGTACTGAGGACCCTTCCTCATGCAGACCCTCTTTGATTTTTGCATTCTGCAGGGTCTGAGGAGGTCCCCTGCCATGTCCTACGAATGGACAGAATTGCCCTTCCGTTTGCCAGACAGTGCAGTTATCAAAAAGCCACTAATAAGCCCAAGGGCAGGCCCAAGGAAGCAATACCGAACAGCACAAATCAGCTTGGCCTTGGCTGTGTGTTCGGGAGGCAGCACTAGTTATATGCCTTCTGCTGATGTCCTGAATCCCAGATGCAGCAGGCAATGCCCTCCCATGGCATGAGCGTGTGATGAAAGGAGGGCAGCAATTCCTGCTCAGCTCATCAAACCAACCCTCTGCAGGGATCCCTTCTGCCCTCCCCAGCAGGGAAGGCTGTGCTGGGGCTGGGATGGAGACTTTCGACAGGCACACTGGACTAAAGGAGTTGGATCTACCCATGTACCTCATAGGAATCACCTTACCTGGGCACTCAGCAAAATTATTTAAGCCACATGAACGATCTGCAGTGAAATCAGGGCCTTCTCTTCTCTCTCTAGCGTGAGGAGGCTCCCCCTGTTTCCAGTCATATTCTGTATTGCATTCATGGAGCAGAAGCACATCTGCAACACTACAGGGAACAGCAGAGAGAGGCAGGTGATTTCAGAGAAAGGGCTGGACGCTCTGGGGGCAGCGAGCATATGGCACGGTGCTCCTGCAACAGGCACACTCCACACAGTGAGAACCCACAGCCAAGCGTGTGCAACTGGCAGCTGTTTCCGTTAAGCACCTTGCAGATGTGCAAGCACCTTGCAGATGTGCAAACACACACAAGACCGACCACGTCAGGCAACCCAGGAAGACGTGCAGCTTCCTTCATCTGCTTCCCACGTCCAAGGTGACTCATCCCTTCGGCAGTTTGCCTAATCTGAAGCTGGATCTGTGCTAGGGCTCACATCGCGTGGGCAGGGAACGCGCGGATTATTAGAGATGCGGAGCCAAAGGTCAGCCTGTATTTAGCCACTTGCATCTCTTGTAATTTGCTTGCTCGTTTTAAGTGAGCAAGAAACACATCTTCTCTGGGGTTTCAAGCTCATCTGATGGCTTTTCATGCCTGACTGAAGCACCCTCCCGCAAGCTCCAGCCCTTGTTAAAGGTCCCCCACAGCACAGTGAAGGCATCAGAGACATCCTGGGCCTGTAGTTTCATTCAGCAAGCTGGGAGACCTACACATGCTATGAAACACATCGCTTCAACAGGCATCTGGACCGTGCTACTGAACCAACATGACAAGGCTATAAAGATGCCTGACAGGACCATGCAAAAATACTGTCCCTGCCCCAAAGCCTAAATATCCATCATGTGCACATGGTGTAATGATGAAGAACACTTTTACCTGGACAGCCACAATTTTTTCCCTGATTTTTTCCCCCTCGGGAAACTTGCCGTGTCCCCGGTTTGAGGGTCATTGAGCCACACATTTGGGATAACATTTTCAAGAGTGGCTAAATGCCTGAGGGCAGTGGTGCTCAACTTTCCAGCTGTGTCAGCCGGATGTGTGGTGCGGGGCTGATCCATGGGCTGGATCCAATGTGGGATCAGCCACTCCCCCACCACCAAACTTCTGCACCCTTGGGGAGCCTCACGGGCCAGAAGACAGCTCTGAGAGCCAAATCTGGTTCACGGGCTGAAGGCTGAGCACCCCTAGCTTTAAGTGAGAGCTAATGACCCTTCTCAAGTGTTCCCAGCTCTCACAGGCACTAGGTGGCAAGGAAATTCTCCAGTCTGAGGAATATGCAGGTATAACTGCAGGGTCAGGAGCTGGAGCAGAGATGCCCAGGGAGCTCATGCAGGGGAGGGGAACAGCAGGGGACCAAGCAAATTGCTTCTGGGCTCCCCATTGCTCTTGGTGTGGATTGCTCTGGCAGTGCCCCTCAGAAGGGAGTGGGGGAGGCACTTTCTGCTGCCACCCTTGGTGCTGACTGCTGGTCAGTCCTGGCACCCAACACGAGCAGCGCAAACCCCCGGGATGACCACAAACACGGACCGTTCCTAAGCACTGCACGTGCATCACGTCTAATCGCAGGCCTGAAGTGAAAACTGCTGTCACTGCACAGGCAGAGAGCAAGGCCTGTAATTGCCTATGTTGTGGACAAGGTTCTTTGTGTGAATCTGATATCTTTTATTAGACCAACTTAAATAGTTGGGGAAAAAATTTTCTTAGCCAGCTTTTGGGTCGGCCGCACTCACCAACAAGCACTCCCCCATACAGGCACCGGCTTTGCAAACCCCAGTGCTAATTAAAACCCCTCCATCCCAGACTTAAGAAAAGAGAAGTGATGAAAAAATGCAGAGAAACCATGTGATCCAGAGCCTTTATCCATGGAAACAGCAAATGCTGCAGCACCAGTGTTTTGGGCATGTTCATTCAAGCTGCAGTGGGTAAAGCCGAGCAGATAAAGCCACCTTTATCAGTCTCCCTCACCAGCCAGAGCTGTCCTGTGACCTTTCCACATGGATGCCTTTGAACAGGTCATCTTGTGGCTGGCTAATCTGCTTTTCTCCACCAGAAATAGGCTTTCCAGGTGCTTGGCCACATTAACAGTGCCACTGGTATGACATTAGGGCCCACAACCCTACTCACAAGGAGGACCCCGCTGTGCTAAGCACTGTACAGATGCACAGGCAAAGTCCCTACCCCAGACAGCTCAGAGCTGGGTTTTCCTTGTAGCTCAGGCCATAATAAAGAAGGTGGCTGGAGGCTGAGCTGTTCTCAGTACTTCACAGCTATAGTCTAAAGTGGAGCTTGAGGCAACTTTACCTACTCCTTCCCTGTGGCTGCAGGGGCAGGGCACTGATTTTTCCTGTGGCAGATGGTGTTTTGGATGTTGATCCTCAGAGTTGCAGGTTTGCAGGGGCGATGCTGGGGCGTCCTTTGGTGAATGACAGCCCACACTGGGAGCCCTGCCCCGCACGCTGAGCCTCGCAGCTCAGCCAAGGGGATTTTGGCATGGATGGAGCTGAGCATAGAGCCCATGCCAGCTGAACTGCACCCCCCAAGAAAAATAGTGGTCCATCTCCTTACACTTCCCCACCCCGGAGGACACAGCACTTGGGCAGTTCCTTGTACGCAAGCACTGACCATCAGGGCCCCTTGAGGCCAGTCAGAAATGGTGGTTACACAATACATATTCATCGTTGCAATTAGCATTGCATACTAATCAGCGTCTAGCACAGGCAGGAGGCCCAAGGCAAGGACGGTGCATCAGGGAGTTATTAGAATTACTGCAAATTTACCGTTGAATGATAAGCCCGTAACAGCACAGACATGCCTTCCCCTTCCAGCATCACAGCTTCGCAGGCCACCTCCCCTGCAGGTGCCCGCTGCTGCATCTGCCTACAGCAAAATCCAACTGGAGGATGAGAAACGCATCGTGGCAGACCTAAAAAAAGTGCCCTTGGTTACCTACGTTACTCCCAGTCCCCAGCAGCACTCTTTGCACCAGGCTCGCTCTTCTTTCTTTTCCTTTTGCATCTGATTTTTCAAGCCACGGTTTGTTGCTTTTCTCCTCCCCTACCACGCTCTGGCTGCAGCTCGCAGGTTGGTTTTGCCAGCGGCACCTTTAACACCATGGGAAAGAGGGACTGGCCCCAGAGCACTTGCAGAAGAAGGCTGTGGCACACTGGTTTTCCCTCCCACCCCAAACCAGCTGGGATATCCTCCCCTAACTGACTCCTTCTAGAGCCTTAATTTGTAAATGAAGGTTGCAACTTGAACATGAACAGGAAACCAGAGGAGCCCAAAGGAAACAGGGCTCCCCAGGCCTGGCCATAACCCTAAGATTTCCTGGCTGTGTCACAGGTTACACAGCCAGGACCACTGCAGTCATCTTTAACCCATCTTCCCCCAGTTCAACCCAATTCAAACCAGAGCTCTCCTGGAAGTCAGAAGGACTCCTCACAGGCACACAGGATTGCTGCCTCAGTCTTCAATGGATTCATGCCAGAAGTGAAAGGCCAATTGGCATAATTGGGAGCAGGGTGATTAACGGCATACACAACACAGCTGTGGCCGGTGTTGGGCGTGCCGCAGGGCGGGGAGGGCACAGCACAGTTACCGGAGCAGCTTGCTTGGCCAGGAGTGAATGGAAGAGCTGCATGCTACCCGGTAAAAAGATCTGCCATGCCTTTGCAGGCACTACGTGGACCCAGCTGGAAACAGAGCAGGCGGCTGCAGTGCTATTGGCTATGCTGTCTGGAAGCCAGAGGTTTGCACCCTAATGCATTCCTGAAGCAGCCAGCACCCTGAGCAGGGGGGAAGAGGGGCTGTTTGATGGGACGGACCCCACTCCAAGCCCTGAAGGAGACTGCTTTTCGGTTCATGTAACAGTAGATCTTTGCTAGAGCCTG